AATAATCCATTTCATTAGGAATGTAAAAAAAAAGTAGATGTTTTCTAACTTTTTTAATTTTGTGATCAAGTATTGTATGAATTGTTTTTTAAACTCATATGGTTTTGATTTAGTTTTGTTAGGATTTAGATTAAATGAGGCCATGTTTTTTGATTTTGGTTAAGAGAAAAAGGTACAGTAGGGCTTTTGGTCCACAGTTTATATGATCCCAACAAAAACACTACACTAATTGAAAATGACAGAAATTGAATATGATACAAGGAGAACATTATGGAACCCCTAATTTGCTAGACAAATGATCTTGAAGAAAACCTTTCTTGACCTGTCCCACGATTTCTAAAGGGTAGATAACTCGCTAGATTAAGAGGGTGCTTTTATGCAGCATCCTGGCACTGCTTCTACATTGGACACTATAAGTTTAGCAGAGGTCATACAAAAAGTTTCTCTGCTCTCTAGTTTACCAATCACTATTGCTACTAAGGTGGTGCAGATTTTGAGATATAATCATCAATGGGATTATTGGCTGAATAATATCTAGAAAGTGACTTCCCCATGATAATGGACAAAGTAATAGTCAATTTCCCTTCATGTTGGCCAATTGAGGTATCAAATTGATCCAGAGGCAGTGTGATTCCGCAAATATAAATCATTTGAGAAGAAACAAGCACCATTCAGAGAGTAAACCATAGCCACTCAACAGAGCCAAAACCCATAAAATGTCTTGAGTGGCATTGAGTGCTGTTTTGATTTCATCAGGAGACCTTGTGGCCTAGGGGGAGTCTTTTTTTCTTTTTGAATTGAATTTGGCCTAGGGGGAGTTCCCATGAACGAAAAGGACAACACTTTTTTTTTTTTTAATCTTTAATGGGTTAATTACAATCTGTTCCCTTCAATTATGTCACTTGTTGCAATAAGTTTTATGTAGTTTCAAATACTATAATTTGACCCTTTCAAGTTTCAAGTGAATTAAATTGACTAACAACAGCGGATGAATACCTGAAATAACTATTACACCCTCCGTCGTGTATATTATTTTTCATATTTTTTTTTCTTGAGATATCATTTTGTCTCTAAAAAAAATAAGGAAACAGAAAAGTCAAAATTAATAAGGAAAACCTTCGTATCCGCCACATCATAGGGAAGTGAGGATTTCTACTGGAAAATGAAGTGTGAAAAGGTAAGGGGGAAATATGAATATTTAGCACAAGGAAAAAATATGTGTAAGAGTAATTATCTATTTTCAACAAAGTAGGGATCACATGAATTTGACATATCTAACTTTTGTCAATTTTTATTGTCTAAGGATAACTATTAGAATTAATTACAAAATATTCAAACTTAAAGGGGATTATTTGTTAAAATTCATACTTGAAAGAGTGAGTTACAAACTACCCAAAATTGAAGGAAACATTTTGTAATTAACCCTTTCTACTTTAATTGCACAAATCCCCTCTTTGTCTCTTGAAGAACCAGAGACAGAGACAGAGAGGGGATTTCTTTACATAAGCCTTTTTATGAGCTCTCAAATACCCATCCGTATGACCAGAGACGTGGATTTTTCGATTTTTGGATAAAAAGCTAAATATTTTTCCCCTTATTGAAAAAAAAATTCCCTTTCTATGTATGTTTTGCGTCTATACACGTGTTTGTGATTGTGTTGTTTATCACTTACTGTTCCCAAAACTTAGTATCAGTGAGAGCCTCATGCAATATTACATCATGTTCAAGTGGAGCACAAAGCGCTATGCTCCATTTTTGATGGAACCATGTTGTGGAAGTCTTGGATTGTTATGTAATCCTATACCCCAAACCTCCCCCCCTCAATGTGCAGCCCAAAAATGCCTTGAGCCTTGTCTTCCTCAGCAGTTTCCAAAAGTCCCTTGGATTGAAAATTTTGCTTCCAAACCCATTGAAGGAGGAAAAAATGTGCAATGTAAGAATGAAACTCAAAGATATTGATGGGAGCCTCCGCAAGCAGTGGAGCATGTAATTTGTTGGGATTCATTTGTCAGCCCCGTAATAAATCAAGAAGTCACCGGTGTAGTTGACTGAATATCAACCATTTCTTCTAGACACTCGCTTCTATTCCCAAAATCATTCTCCTTGGACGCCATCTTTTTCACCGCTTAGTCCGTGTTGTATGATGTTTCTAAACGCAAGTTAAATTTTTTTTCGTAATTTTTCTAATTAAAGGGGGGTCAGAATAAAAAAAATTGCAACTGTCGTAGGCCCTTCTTTTATTGTTCTTCATCACCAACTCGAACCATTGCAGAACCGAAACTCACCTCATATGGCGCGCCTCCCGAAGCTTGGATTGGACTGAACATCTATAGATAATGCCACTGATTGAAGTTCTTTAGAAAGTTGGCCACGATATAATTGCCACATTCAACTATCATACAACAATGCAGTGGCAAAGCTTGGCATTTGGCCCTGGCTTGTCTTGACCTGTCGGATTGGCTCGACCTGGCCCAATTATCATCAGACTTTTGGCCGGCCTAATCAAATAGGCCACCATTAGATTGATAGCGAGTCCTAATAAATATTTGGGTGGGGCTAAGTTCATCCCATTTATACCCACTCCATTAATTACTAAATTCACTCCGTCTATATTTACTAATTAAAAACTTAATTCATTCAATTTTATTTTAACTTACTATATAGGCAGTGGTCAAAATTTCGTTTCGATGTATAATTTATGTACAAAAATATTTTAGAAACAAAATAAAAATAAAATATAATTTATTTTTAAAATATTAGTTAAAATATACCAAAATATTATAAAATACCTCAAAATATTTTGAAGACATTAGTAAAAATATGTCAAAATACCTCAAAATATTCTAGATCATCTCGGAACATTGAAAATTTGCTTTAATTACTATTTTTGTTTAAGTTTCTTTGAAATATACATTAATAGTTTGATTAGGTTGATATAAATGTGATGAACTTAGTCATTAACGAAGTAGGGACTCTCCTTTGGGTGACACATGTTATTTCTGTTTTCTTTTTGGGTCTAACCTCCTAACCTTTCGACTCTTGCAATGTTTTGAAGCGGAGAAATGGTTGGCTCTGATCCCAGGAGGTAATCCGAAAGGCACTCTTAAGTTTCAGGGGGCCATTTTTGATTTATTAGTATTGGTTAATGGTTGAAAAAGGAGGTTTGGGGTTGGGTTTCACTGGTTGTTCTAGTCACTTAGTTGATGAGTTTTTGGAGCACAGTGTCGAGGATCATGCTAAAGATCCTCAACCTTAATTCAAGGCTTTCCATTTGCATTCTCTTTTGTAGCTTCTAGATTTATTTAATTGATTCTTTCCATACTTGTAATTTCTATATACAGATATGTAACTGTGCATATATATATATGAAATCGACTCACCACTAAAAGGTGTGGTGATTTTTCAAACTCTCTCATGGTATCAGAGCAGAATACGGATTAACATCCCTCTGACAATCCTCTTTCCCTCTCCATGGCTGCTGAATCTTCTTCCACTCTTCTCCCCTTCAATACCCTCATCCACATGGTTACAATCAAACTATCCTCTTCCAACTGCCTCCTATGGAAAAGCCAATTGCTTCCCCTTTTAGAGAGTCAAAAACTAATCGGCTATGTGGATGGAACCATAGAAATTCCACCCCGTTTCACCCTTGAAAATTCTCAGACACCAAACATCAAATATGTGGCATGGAAACATACTGATCAGCGCCTCCTTAGTCTTCTGTTGTCCTCCCTTACTGAGGAGGCCATGGCTGAAGCTGTGGGACTCTCCACTTCACGCGAGGTGTGGGTTGCCTTGGAAAACACCTTCAACGACCGCTCCAAAATCCGTGAAATCCGTCTCAAGGATGACTTGCAACTGATGAAACGAGGCACCAGATCTGTTTCGGAGTATGCCCGCGCCTTCAAGGCCCTCTACGATCAACTCCATGCAATTGGACGACCTGTCGACAGCACTGACAAAGTGCACTGGTTCCTCCGAGGTCTTGGCTCGAAATTCTCGAACTTCTCTATAGCACAAATGGCCCTAACCCCTTTGCCCTGTTTTGCAGATCTTGTGCCCAAAGTAGAGAGCTGTGAGATCTTTCAAAAATCATTGGAGCATGCTACACCATCCCCTATTGCGTTCACAACCACCAATCGCAACCCTGCAAAGTCGAACCAGCGAAGCTATTGTTCCCGCAATCAACCGCCTCGAATTGGCGGCAATGGACGAGGACAAGGACGCTCCTCTGGCAGACGACCTTTGCGCTGCCAAATCTGCCGCATGGAAGGTCATAATGCGGACCGGTGCCGACAACGGTATGAAAGCCATGGTCATACCCCTGAAGCTAAACTTGCCGAAGCCCTAAATGCATCGTGTTCCATTTCCGGAAATGAGGCCTCGGATTGGTTTTTAGACACAGGAGCCTTGGCCCATATGACTCCAGCCCAATCCTTCTTGGACCAGTCCACTTTTTATACGGGTAAGGATTGTGCTATTGTCGGGAATGGTGCGTCTCTACCCATTACCCACACTGGTAAACTTTCCCATTCCCCTGATTTTCAACTATTAGACGTTTTGGTTGTCGCTCACATTGCTAAAAATCTTCTGTCCATTAGTAAATTAACTACTGACTTTCCGTTATCCATTACGTTTACTGATAATTTTTTCATTGTTCAGAATCGCAAAACGGGAAGAGTGGTGGCAACCGGTAAACGAGATGGTGGCCTATACGTGCTAGAACGTGGAAATTCGGCTTTTGTTTCTATTCTGAAAAGTAAATCTCTTCATGCTTCATGGGATTTATGGCATGCACGCCTTGGACTATGTAAATCATTATGTTATTTCTTTTCTTAATAAAAAAGGACTGTTTTATTGTACTTCCTTATTGCCATCTCTTGTGTCATGTAGTACATGTCAAATTGCAAAGAATCACCCTGTGCCCTATTCTCGTGTTGAATATCGATCTTCAAAGGTTTTAGATCTTATTCATTGTGATCTATGGGGCCCATCTCCTGTAAAGTCAAATTTAGGATTCACATACTATGCTTTATTTATTGACGATTATTCTCGTTTCACTTGGTTTTTTCCATTGAAATTGAAATTTGACTTTTTTAATACTTTTATTCAATTTCAAAATTTTGTTGAAAATTAGCATTCTGCTCGTATAAAAAAATTTCAAAGTGACGGTGGTGGTGAATTCACTAAGAATTGCTTTAAAGCACACCTTAGTACCTCTGGCATTCATCATCAACTCTCTTGTCCTTATACATCCGCACAAAAATGGTCGTGCTGAAAGGAAACACCGCCATGTGACTGAAACAGGTCTGACCCTTTTTTTTTATTCTCAGATTCTCACTCACTTATGGGTTGATACTTTTAGCACTGCGGCTTACATCATCAATCGTTTGCTCACACCGCTTCTCAGAGGTAACTCACCTTTTCAACTCCTATATGGTTCCTCTTCCAATTACGAAAAATTTCATCCATTTGGTTCTCGTGTTTATCCTTGTTTACGTGATTACATGACTAACAAATTTTTCTCTTGTAGCATGCCTTTCATTTTTTTGGGTTATCATTCATCTTATAAAGGTTTTCGTTGTCTTGGCCCCACACTTCCAGGCTCTATATTACCCGTCATGCCCAATTTGACGAAAATCACTTTTCGTTTCGCTATACTTCTCAAGCCCAACCCATACCTTCTCTCCAAATCTCAAATTTTTTGGAACCAAGTCTCCCTCCCATAGACATGCCCCTGTCTCCCTCTGCATCACACTCTCAACATATTTCCCAATCCGGATCCACCCCCGTGTATTATTTGTACTGATCCAGTGGATGAGTCTTTGCAAGTAACTGATGCTCATACAGTACCATCTCCGTCACACTCAGACTTCAGACCGATTTCTCTGGAGCTCATTACTGAGTTACCCATAGTTGATCACACTCCCATTGTAGCCACTCCATTGAGTTCTCATCCTATGCTCACACGGGCCAAAGCCGGAATCTTCAAAACGCGCCATCCAGCACATCTCGGACTTGTAGGTTCCTCTGGACCTCTTTCAGCTTTTTTTGCATCCACTGAGCCTAAAGGATTCAAATCTGCTGCTAAGAATCCTGTTTTGCTTGCTGCCATGGATGAAGAAGTTCAAGCCCTGCAAGACAATTGTACCTGGATTTTGGTTCCTTGACCCACCAACACCAATATTGTGGGTTTCAAATGGGTGTTTCGAACCAAATTTAGCACCAAATTAAAGTTCTCCCATAAGAGGGGATTTCTACCGGAAGAGAAAGGGTGTAAAGGTAAGGGGGAAGTATGAAAATTTAGCACAAGGAAAAAATGTGTAAAAGTAATTATTTATTTTCAACAAAGTAGGGATCACATGAATTTGACATGTCTAACTTTTGTCAATTTTTATTGTCTAAAGATAACTATTAGAATTAATTATAAAATATTCAAACTTAAGGGGGTTATTTGTTGAAATTAAAACTTGAAAGAGTGAATTACAAACTACCCAAAATTGAAGGAAATATTTTTGTAATTAACCCTTTCTAATTTAATTGCACAAATCCCCTCTTTGTCTCTTGAAGAACCAGAGAGAGAGTTGAGATTTCTTTACATAAGCCTTTTTATGAGCTCTCAAATACCCATCCTTATGATCAGAGATGTGGATTTTTCGATTTTTGGATAAAAAAATTAAATATTTTTCCTTTACTGAAAAACAATATCCCCTTTCTGTGTATGTTTTGCGTCCTTACACATATATTTGTGATTGCATTGTTTATTACTTACCGCTCCCAAAACTTAGTATAAGTGAGAGCCTCAGTGCAATATTAAATCATGTTCAAGTGGAGCACAAAGCGCTATGCCCCATTTTTTATGGAACCAAGTTGTGGAAGTCTTGGATTGTTATGCAATCCTATACCCCAAACCTCCCCATCCCCCCCCCCCCCCCCCCATACACACACAAATGTCAGCCCAAAAATGTCTTGAGCCTTGTCTTCCTTAGCAGTTTCCAAAAGTCCCTTGGACTGAAAATTTTGCTTCCAAACCCATTGAAGGAGGAAAACATGTGCAATGTAAGAATGAAACTCAAAGATATTGATGGGAGCCCCCACAATTAGTGGAGCATGTAATTTGTTGGGATTCATTTGTTAGCCACGTAACAAATCCAGAAGTCACCTGCGTAGTTGACTGAATATCAACCATTTCTTCTAGGTACTTGCTTCTATTCCCAAAATCATTCTCCTTGAACACTATCTCTTTCACTGCTTAGTCCGTGTCAGATGATGCTTCTAAAAGCAAGTAAAATTTTTTTCTAACTAAAGGGGGATCAGGACAAAAAAACTACAACCGTTGTTGGCCCTTCTTTTATTGTTCTTCATCACCAACTCGAACCATTGTAGAAACCGAAACTCACTTCATATGGCGCGCCTCCTGAAGCTTAGACTGAACATCTAGAGATAATGCCATTGATTGAAGTTCTTTAGAAAGTTGGGCACAATATAATTGTCATATTCAACTGGGGGAAATTAGAAGGAGATACACTAAATTTGAGTTAATTGTAAAAAAGTATACAGAAAAAAATATAGAATAAAAAAATATCCTTAATTTTGATATTTATTTGTGTCCAAGTATATTATTTGAAATTTTTAAATTTTTTTGTGTGATTTTTGTCCTCCCTTGATCCTTGCATAATTTTTTTGGAAAGTGATGCATTAAACATCTCCTAATTTTATGGGAGAACTTTAATATTCCGTATTTATATGTCCTTCATTGATTCATGCGTATTTTTTTTGAAAAGTGGTTTTATTTTTCAAATTATATTTAATACACCTTGATTCATGAATGTTTTTTGAAAGTGTTTTTGTTTTCAAATTATATTAATATCCGAACTCCATAACAATATAATAATAATAATGTAGCAATAATAGTGTAACAAGACATTTACACAAAATAATGTACTATTATAATTTGTCATATATATATTTTTATATAATTTCATTCAAAACAAACCATCTCTATTTTGAATTTGTTACTATATGCACAAAATCACTGAACACTATTTTTGCTCCAGTGTATTGTTATATTGTCTTGTTACATTGTTTTTGTTATACTATTATGGAGTTCGGACATTAACAAATTTTAAAATTCAAACAAGTGGTATATCCTAAAATAAAAAAAAATATTAAAGTTCTCCTATAAAACTAGTAATAGTAAATATTTAATGTATAAATATAATTTGAAATAAATGACTTTCAAAAAAAAAAATACATGAATCAAGATGCATTAAAGATAAGAGATTTTAAATTAAATGATCTTAAATTTCAATGCTTAAGATAAATGTCTTGTTACATTTTTTAGGAAAGAAAATTTTACAAAATGGACATTTATGTCTTTGTATTTCAGCTGTGTACTATTTTTCAAAATATTTTGTTATGTGTATTTTTTTATAATTATGTCTAATTTGGTATATCGGCTTCTAAAGGACCATTCAACTATCATACAACAATGCAATGGCTAAAGTTTGGCCTTCGGCCCTAGCTTGTCTTGACCTGTCAGATTGGCTCAGCCTGGCCCAATTATCATCAGACTTTTGGCCCGGCCTAATCAAATGGCCCACCACTGGCCCAACAAAATAATTCTCAAAATTTTTATTTATTTTTAATTTAATAATATTATTTAAATCTAATTTATTGATATAATTTATCAAAAAAAATAATTTACTGATCGATTTATCATCACAACTATTGGATTAATAGCGAGTCCCAACAAATATTTGGGTAGGGCTAAGTTCACCTCATCTATAATCACCTCGTTAGTTATTAAACCCATTCGTCTATGTTTATTAATTAAAAACTAAATTCATTTAATTTTATTTTAACCTACTTTAGAGGCAATGATCAAAATTTTATTTTGGTGTATTATTTATGTACGAAAATATTTAAGAAGCAGAATAAAATAAATAAATAATTTATTTTTAAAATATTAGTCAAAATTATACCAAAACTAGTTATTGTCTGTGTTTGAAGGTACAAAATAATAAAAAAAAATCAACAATAAATATATTTATATTCACATTCAAAATCAAATTACAAACATAGAGTAAATAAAAGAATTTAAACACTAATTATAGTGGAGGTGAACGGTAGTAATAGTGGTTGTGGGAGATGCTGATAGTTGTGGTGGGTGGCGACAACCGTGGTGATGGTGACAATTATGGGTGGCAATGGTGATGTTGGTGGTGAATTTTTGGTGACGATAGTGGTAGTGACAATCATGAGTAACGACAGTAGTGGTGTGTGGGCGACGATGATGGTGGTTGACAATGGTGGTGGTGGTGGGGTGACGACGATGGGTGGGGTAGTGATGATGGAAGTGGTGGACGACAACAAGTGCTTCTAGATGACAATGTGATGAGTTGTGGTAAATAACAATGGTGGTGGTGGTAGGTATGGTGGGGGTGGGTGGCAATGAGTGGCAATAATGGTGGGTGATGATGATTGGTGGTGGTAAGTTTGATGGAGGTGGGTGACAGTGAGTAGCGGTGATGGTGGGCAATGATGGGTGGTGTTGGGTTTGTGATAGTGGACGGCGATGGATGGTGGTGAGCAACAATGATAGTGGTGGGTGTTGACAGTGGGCGACAGTGATAAATATAAGGATAAAATGAAAATTGTGGTGGGTGGTGGTTGTGGACAACGATAATAACAATCGATAGTGGGTGGTAATGGTTGTAGGGCAGTGGCTGCACCGTGGGTAATGGTGGTGGTGGGATGGCGACAACAACAGTAACAACAACGTGATGGTGGTAGGGTGGTGGGAGTGGTGGTAATGGTGGTGGCAACAACAGCGGTGGAGGTGGTGGTGATTGTGGTAGAGGTGGTGTAGAGTGGCGACAGTGGTAGTGAGGATGGCGGTGGGACGGTAGGGGTGGTAGTGGTGAAGCAGTTCTAAATATTATTATTTTTAAAGTATTAATGAGTAGTTATAAGTTCTATAAGTACTTTTAAAAGTCATCCCAAACACACTCTTAGCGGTCTATTTTTCTATTAAATTTGAATGTTAATATTAACTATCGGATTAATTTTAGAGTAAAATTTAAAGAGATCTTCACCGCGAAAAGTAAAAATTATTTTGTTTATCTTTTGAAATTTAAATTGTATTGTACTTTATTATATAGATATTATTAAACACCTCAAAATATTTCGAAGATATTGGTAATAATATGTCAAAATACTTCAAAATATTTTAGATCCCCTCAAAATATTTTAGATAAAGTGAATTTAGTAAATTGAAGTAAGAGAATTAAATAGGGTGAGCAAAAAATTTAAAGGGTGGAAAAGGAGATTTAAAGGGCGAGAATAACCCCATGCCAAATATTTGTGCAGCTGTCTTTCAAATTATTATGAGTGATTGATTCAACAAATTAGATTAATAAATTAAATTTAAATACCATTACACTTTTTAATTAATACACTTTTTAGGAAAAATATCAATCAAAAGACCTGTAAATATGGTCATAAAATGTTCATTTCTCTTAAACAAAATATAATGAAATTCTCAAACCATTGTTCTATTATAATACTACTTCATCTCACACATTAATGCAATTATTTATTTCAATCACTAAGATTGAAGTCATATAAATTAAGCTTGATAACTCTCACTCATTTGATATTATGATTATAAAATTGACCCGATTATTAAATATGCGTAATAAATAGTCTAGACTAATCTTTAATATTTTCATAATACAATAAATAAATAAAATTTCGTGAATCTTAACATGAACATGACATAAATAATAATAACACGACACGTGAGTCACACAAGACACAATTGACACATTCTTAACCCAATTTTAATTATACTGTCCGTATTTATGATTTTATAAGTTTTTGGGTGAATAATTGGTTTAAATAAGAAAACAAAACACGCGATAATGGCATTAATAAAAATACTCGATAAATAAAAACTCATAATTAATTTTTTTATTTTTTTTTGATCAAAAAACTCATAATTAATTCAATCACGTACACACCAACTACCCATGCCCATTGCTTTAATGTCAATGGCATAGTCGTAAATATTGGACAGCTCAAAGGCAAAGGTTTTACCCTTTGTCCCCATCTTCTTCATAGGTAGCGCCGCAGTCCCCACCGACGGCGATGCAGGTTAGAGTTTTGAATCGTCGCCAGTTCGGTTTCCATACATCGACGTCCACCTGCCGGCGAACCTCTCAGGCGCTGCTATAGTTGAATTGAGCCATCAGCGATCCCTCCGTTTATTGAAGTTATCCTCTCTGAGACTCGCACAAAACCCAGAAATCTTGTTGTGTATTACATCAGCAACCGTTATATTAAAGACCATTTTACATGATAGATTTATCATATTTCATAGTAAGGAAAAGAATTATTGATCTGGGAAGTAACATCGTGAATAAAAAAGGCGGTTCAGGCAACTACAACCCAAAAAGGCGGTTCAAGCAAATACATAATACATAATAAATTGTCCATCCAAACATAGACACAGAATCGAAACAGAGTCACAGATCTATAAGCTTGAAGATATGGCAAACAGCAGAATTAAAAGTGCGGACACCGCCGCAACCATAGAATAAAACCGGCAAATCCTTGCCATCTTCGGCCTGTTGGGGAGAAACAACGAGCTGAAGGAGCCAGAGAAGGCGAACATAATTGAGATGATGAAAGCGTGAAAGGTAGAGGGATGGCCCTTAAAGAATATGGTGGGTACTCGGTTTTTACCTATCATGTCGTAGGGAAGAAACGGCAGCACCGCTCCTGTGGCGGAGGTGGCCACCAAAATTGCCGATGAAACTTTACGCTCGATTTTTTCAGTTGAAGGGAAGACAGCAAATAGAGGAGAAGGAGCTTTGAACGAGCCTGTCTGCTTTCCCATCTTCATTACAGAGGTTGAAGCTAATTATTCCAAGGGGAGCGGAGTGAAGCTTGGTTATAGCATATCGTAGATTCAGCTAATTCTTGGAAAATTAAAACCATTTCGGGAGGAGCAATGCAATACGGACTTTACTTGGGATCTAATGTGATTTTAAGGATTAGTTGTGAGTTTTAATATTAGATGAATCATATATTTAATTCAATAATTATAAATCATTAAATCATTATATTAGATTTTTAAAATAGATCTAAATAATATTTTTTTTCCAGAATATATTACATTGTGATCAATCGAATAATAATAAAATGCATTCAATTCATCATTAAATATATCTTACTATAGCAAATTCAAATTCAAATTGCTATAGCGAATTAAAATTAAAATTCAATAGATGACAGTTAACCTCTAGTGCACGTTGATACAATTTTATGTCTTTTAAGGTGTAAATTAATATTTTTAAACTTTAAAAGTACAAATTAAGATTTGAGTAATTTTTCAGGGTACAAATTAAAATTGGTCCTATATTATATCCTTGAATTATGTCAAAATAGTATTAGTGTTCTTAGTAAACATAATTAAATAAATTAAAATCTTAAGGACTAGTTTGATTATCGTACTAATAAAAAAAATTAGATTAATAACAACATTAATTTAATATAAGATTGAATATTAATATCATACAACATTAGATTCTATATAGGTGCATTTAATACAAGATTAAAATTAAGACAAAAAATACTTTTTATTATGCCCTGCGAGTGGTATGATATGACATCTGATAAAACAGTAAAATAACAACATAATATTTTTAAATTGCATTACAATACCTCCTCCCAAATGATATTAAAATTGAGTTAATAGTATCTATCAGTTGATGGTACTAAAAGTATATAATTGATACACAAATTTGATTTAGTCCTATACATAATATCAACATAGCGACTCGGACAGTTTGTGTTTGTTTCAAAACTTCACCAATCTATCCATATATAAAACCATTATTTTTTAGAAGAATTCTTCTTTTTCACTTTTTTTTTTATAAAAAATATTATTTAATTAATTTAAAATTATATATTTTCCAATCAACAACACAACTTGATCAATATAACCACATTGTCAATATAAGGATTTGACAATTGTCACCTAATTCCGTTGAATACGGAGGAAGTATGTTGACGTTTTTGAGAGGACAAAGGCAGCTTCTCAGAAATTCGGAAGTTACCTGCCTCGCAGAAAAATAATGCAAAGTAGAAAGACTAAGAAAACTTCTGCATTAAGGAATTGAAGGTCACGATCGACTGCTTGCAAAGTAACGTGTTTACAATTTATCTATCTATATTGATTATTATGAAAATGTTTGAAAGAAATTAAATGGGTGTGTTCAACCGTTGATGTTAATGATCTTATCATGACCGCATGTAATGCTATTTTTGCAAGATTTTTAGTAAAAACCTGTGTTTGTAATTAAATAAATAAAAATTTTAAGAAAATATATTTTCTCTCTCTGTTAAATCGGTTGTAATAATATATAGACGCGTTAATCTATCTCAAACAAAAAAACAAAAGAAGCATTCAACCATTTTTGACTTAAATTAAAAAAGGCGTGAAAGCGCGTTAAATTTTGTTTTGCTGTTCTGGGAGGGACGATTTGATGCAACCATATCGTCTGGAACCTTCCTAATATTTGTAATAAAGTAATGTAAATAACCCATCGTTCAATCAGTCAACAAGGTTTTTTTGACTGATAGTTCAATTATTTCATCAAACACGGTAACCAAAGACTAAAATTCTTCAAGAAAAATATTATTTAAAATTTTAATTTAATATAAATTTTAAATTAAAAATAGAATCGGCTTAAATTTAATTCAATGATTATATTGAATTAAATCTCTGATTAAATTATTATAATATTCCTCGATCTCTAATGGAGTTTCAATTTAAAATTTAATTTATCTAAGTGTTTTTTTAAACTTAAATATCGTCTAAATTTAAAAAATTAAAATTTTGATTGAACTCGAGTCATGCAGCTCTAATTTATGATACAAAATTTCTCTTCAACTCGAGTCTAGCGGTCTACTCTTTTTCTCTCTCCCTCTCCCTCTCCCTCTCCCTGTCTCCGAAATCCATGGAAATAGAACTCATCTCCAGTGCATTCCGATCCGCAAGCCTCCCGGAAAGTTATGTCCGTCCAGAATCCGAAAGACCAAATCTATCCCAAGTTGACGACTGGAAAATCTGTTTTTTCTTTCCGGTAGTTGACTTGGGCTGTGGAGATAAAAATCTATTACTCCAACAAATAGTCCATGCTAGGCGTGAATATGGCGTTTTCCAGGTTCGTAGTTTTTTTTTTAAAATGAAATTTTCATTATTTTTGGGTTGTTTTAATTGTCATTTTCCCTAGTCATTTATTCTTTTTTTTTTTGTTTTTTTTAATAATAAAAATGGTTATGCTTTGTAAATTTGTGTCTCATCAGATAATAAACCATGTAGTATCAATGGAAGCAGCAGCGAGAATGTTATTGGTTGATCCTGAATTCTTTGGGTTACCAGTTGAAGAGATGCCGAAGTACTATTCTGATGACCCTTCAAAGACCATGAGGCTGCATACCAATTTTAATGTGATAAAGGAAACTATTCACAACTGGGAAGACTATCTCAGGCTTCGTTGTCTAAAAGAGATTATGAAGAATATGGTCGAAGAATCTGTAGCTGCAGACGGACATAAACATAAAGATATCTGGGGGAAGAAACTCAAGGGCCCTGCATTAAACTTCGATGCTGGGGCTAGCTCTAGCTCTAATTGTGGATCAGGTACAAATCAAACTCCCAGTGATGACATGATTCGCATCATTATTGATGAACCTAGCGCGCTTGATCTATTTGATCAGATGCTAAAAAAAATTAAAAAAGATGAGCATATGAAACTTCTGTCAGAGGGAGCAATTGATTGTCTTGCCAAGTTAAATGATGTGGTGATCGGAACCGCTAGTACTGTTACCATTGGTCTTGTTGGTTTTGCCAATACTGGCTCATCTTTTTCACCAACCTTGTCTTTTCTTGGGGTGGCTAATGCAACTGCTTTCGTTTGTGCCTTCACCGCCATTACACTGCGTCTTAAAAAGCCAATGGCTTCACGCATCATGACCAAAATTGGAGGCATAGCGTCATCATCTTCAATTGTTGGGGCTGTGGGAATTTACCTTCCTGATAACATTGCTTGGGCAAGCTGGGTTGCAGCTATCATCCCTGCAGTTGCTGTGGCGCTGTTCTAATCATTCACTTTGTCATGGGTGTCACTTTTGTACACGAGTTAAGTTAATTGCTTTGCTTTTTTATTTCAGTTGTTTGTATTTCGTTCTGTAAAAACGATTAGAAATAAAGTGTTGATGTCCATGAATCAGAGATTGTGGACATCCCATTACAGCCAAACATGAAACAGGTATCCGTATATTATCCGAAAAATAACAATTCCATTGATGTGTAGCAACGATATACAAAATAAGGAGCTATTCCCCTTAAAACATGCACAGGAATCAAAAGTAAACAAACCTGTGAGGGGTGCACATTCAAGGTAAGCACCTCAAATAAATTTGACAAAAAGTACAGATAGTACAAAGAATTGAGCAAAGTTATACTGAACTAATTTGGGGATCTAATTCAATATAGCTAATAGATTAATTATGAGTTTCAATATTATATTATATGGAGTTCACCTTTCATCCAACAACTGTAAATGATTATGTCCCCAACTTAAGTACTCAAATTAGGTCCAAGTAGTATTTTTCTAAAGAATTAAACTATTACAGAGTAGTAAGTGGACAAAAAGATATCACGCAAGACAACTATCTGGTACCCTCCACTTCTGCATGATCTTGTGCTTGAACCTTAGGGATGTCATTCTGTCCCAGGTAACCTGCTCAATTGTTTTCAAGTTTGCATTGCTGTCTTTGTATTGGTTGGAATGGATTCTAGCATTCCTTTCCCTCCAAATGCAATATTCTGGAACTGTCAAGCATGCTTTCCTCGTTACAGTCCTCATAGACTTGCCCTTCCACTATTGTGCTCCCCACTGGATGAGAATTGGTCATGGTCTTTCAGTGTAATTTTGAACCAAATATTGCTTCAGGTGTCTCCAAATCCTCTGTGTGAATGGACAAGCAAAAAACAGGTGCTCATGAATCTCAAGAGCATTTCTGCAAAAGAGACATTGGAGTCTCAAGTGAGCCGCAAAAGATTATGTTCTATCTTTGGTGCTAAGTCTTTGCCTCACTGCAAGCCATAAGATGAAACTCATTCTAGGTATGAATCGGCTATACAAAATGAGTTCAGTTCCTAACCTTGGTCACTGTTTTTTTATTAGGGCAGTGCAGTGATGGGCTCTAAGTCTTGTAGTAACTAGTGGAACACCCCAAGTACCTTACAGGTAAATCTCCTTCTGTGAAACTCATTTTCTTAATGATTTCAGCTTTAACATCACTTGGAACTTCAGAAAAAAAAAATTGGAAACAATCCAATCACTCTTGAGGACAGTGACCGAGTTCAATTCCCCTTTGCATAAAAGAAGCAGATCATCCACAAATGTGGGGCTAACAAGTTTGATTCTTTGCATATCCAATGGAACCTGAAGCCTCTTCTGGAATTTGGCGGTTGTAATGTAATGAGGCTCAATACTTCCATGGCCATGACAAAGAGATAAGTGGAGACGGGATCCCTCTGTCTCAGCCCTCTAGAACTAGGAAAGAACCTGCTAGTTCACCATTGACATTAATTGAAAATCAATGGGATGTTATAAAATCTTTTATCCACATCCTCATAGCTGAAGGAAAACTCAAAAGCATCTAACGTGTCCAACATAAAGCCCCAGTCAACTGAATCATATGCTTTCGTTAAATCAACCTTGATTGCACATCTAGCTGGTCTTTTGTCCTTATGATCACCCCTTAAAGAGCTCTTATGTGTAGGCTTATATTATCCTGTTAAACGTTCTGAGGGGAGTCTCTTTTAATTTTGTGCTAAGTCACCTAATAACTGAACTTTTGAATTGTAGTCATCACCCAGTTTGAATGGCAGTTTTTAGCTTGAATACTATAAAGGGAAAAAATATAATATTCAGAGAATGTTTTTCAGTATATTTTACATTGATCTATTCTGTATAAATTATAGTTATAGACAATGAGACCCTATATATGAGACGAAATACATTAAAGGAAACAAATAATACCCAGCGTACTTATGTGCTAACTTTTTGGATCAGATTGGTGTTGAGCGGTGCAAGCTGTTGCCTTAGAGTAGAAGCAGATTGGCCTTGATTGACGGGAAAGAGGAATCCATATTTTTTTTTTTGTTCGGTATCGACATTTCATTTGGACCATTGATTAATTTATTTGTTTTTGTAGCCGTTGATCAGTTTGAGAAGTGGGATACCGATTACCTGCTAAGCCGGTAATAGAAAAGAGTAAGATTTGACAAATAATCTCACCCAAAAACATTGAAATCACTACAAAAAAAAGTTGAACCCCTCCGTTAAACTCAAAAAATTTGGAATCCTCCCAAGAGTTGAAAACTTACCCAAAAAAATTAGAATCCTACCAAATAGGTTGGAACCTACTCCAAAAAATTTGAAACCCTACCAAAAATGTTGGGACCCCTTTCCAAGAGTTGGAATCTCTATCAAAAAAAGTTAAAATCTACCCCAAAAAATTGAAACCCCCACCCAAAAAAAGTTAGAACTCCTCCCCCTTAAAAGTTGGAACATCTACCAAAAATTTGGAACCACATACTGCTAGAACCCCAAGAGTTGGAACCTCAAAAAGATTAGAACCTTCCCCACAAGAGTTGGAACTGCTACAAAAAAGTTAAAACTCTATTCAAAAAAGTTGGACTCCTATATATATTGCTATCGAATATCAATGTAACAAAGTATTATTTTAGATGATTTGAAAATATTCTATATATAGAATATCACTATAACAAAATATTATTTTAGATACTAAGAAAATATTATATTGGAATGAAATTTTAAGATAAAATAACAAAATATTAAAATTTTTGTTTACTTTTAACACATCTTCGGAAGATGCTCTTAGTTGCCTAAAAAGGATCAATTTGAGTGGAAGTTGGTACATTGGAACTATCAAATACATTTATCCATAACTTTATTATAATTGTTATTGTGTGGGTGGTGGGTGCTGGGTGGTGGGTGGATCACTTCACAGCTTGGACGACTCTTTTTTGGTGGTGGTCTAAATCAGAGTGTACACGGCACGCCGCTCTTTTTTGACCTTAAAACTACAACTCAACAACTTTAATTATGTCAAGACCGAGAAAGCTTCAATAATGCACGGGTGCAATTTAGGCGAGTGACCCCGAAAAAAATAGAATTTGGGTTAAAATTTATAATCCTTGAATTGAGTCTGGATAAAAAACTTCAACTCGAATTGAATTTGAATAAATTTTAAATTGAGACTTTAGGTTGTCGGGTTCAACCCGAATATTAAATTGGATTGATCCCGAATATATATAAATATATTTAATTAGGATTATTATTTATCTTCAAATTCAAACTTTCACTTCACTTCAAGTCTTCACCCCTGCGCCTCCATCACTCTCAGATCTTTTTCTCCCTTTATTAACCTCCCTCACTCAATTGTCACTCGTCTGAATCGTCTCAGACTCTCAGCCTCATTTTCTCATTTGTCACTAGTCCTTCTCTCACTTCCTCTCTCTTCATCTGTATCTCGCCCTTCATTTTAGATCACTTAAAAAAATCAAATTTACACTTGAAAAAATCAAATCTACACTTCAAAAAATCAATTTAAATTAAGTAACTCAAGTCCAACCCGATTTTTAACTCAATATCAGTCCACCCGAATTCAACCTGAGCCCACCCGAATTAAACTCGGACAATACTCGGGTTGAAATAGAGTTAGAGTTAGAGTTGAAGATTATATACTTAGGATAGGACTAAAGTTGACCTCTCAACCTGCCCGAGTTGCACCCCTAGGCACCGTAAAAAATGATGAAAGGAGAATACCTAAATTTTGGAAATTTAATTTATTATAATTATTGAAATGAAGGTAAATTTTATTTAATATTTTGAACTCATAATTAATTTAATAATTATATTAAATTAAGTCCTCAATTTAAATTATAATCAGTCTGTATAAAACATGCAATTAGCACTATAATTTCAAATACGCGTTTTGAACCGAAAGAAAAGCTTGACTTTGGGGTTGGGCATTGAGACTCTATATGTGTGACGAAATACATTAAAGAGAAACAAATAATACCCATCATGATTATGTGCTAGATTTTTGCACATGAAATGTTAAATAGAAAATGTTAGACAAAAGATTGAAGTTATATTGTGAAATTATACCAACAATTAATAATTTTCCATATTTAAAGGCACAAGATAACAAAAAATTAATTTACAATTCGAAGAATATTACATTGCCTAAAGGTATTTAGAAACTTAAAATATATCGTCAATTTATAATAATATTTATTTTATTTGTATTAATTAAAAAAATTAAAAACAATCTACTTCCCACTTTTTTTAAAAAAATTGGCAAAATTTTCTTTTAAATAAGAACTTAAGAAAATATCAACATGTCTACGGAATTCATCTATATAATAAAGTAGTTAACTTGGTTTGTCTTTAACTTTTTGCGGTTCAGATAATTTTCAGGTTTTTGATCTGACGATCCTAATTAATCTATATTTCTACAGGATTCTACTATATTCATTTATCTCTCCTCATTCTCATTCAAACCATTGGAGAAATATCTACATTCTTAAGGACTTTACTACATTCTTTTTTATTTCTTCTCATTCGCATTCAAACCATGGGAGAGATTGACTTTGACGGTTATATATATATATATATAATCCAATCTATACAATAAACCGTTTAAATGCGTAATTTAAAATTAACAAAATAATAGTACAATAACAAGGATTATCTTTAACAAAATATAGGTTTATTAACATATGTCATCATATATATATATATATATATATATATCTATCTATATCTATATATAATTTATAATATAAAACAATACATATTTCAATAAACTCATCCAACTGTCTCAAATAGACTCATCCGGTAGCTACCAATATCCATCTCAAAATCATTCACATTGAATTCTCCCCTTCCAAATCCATCACTTCTCACTTATTTTATGACTTAGATCGCTTGATGATTATTGATCCGACAGCCATAATGCTAAATTTCATCTCTCAATTTTTTGAATAAGACTTTTATTCT